TGTTGGCTGTTCTCTCTTGCTCTCCGTTTTTTCCTTCTTACTTTCAGAGTAACAGCATTTTTGACTCCTTCCTACTTTACTGGCAGTTTCTTCTTAGTCCCTTTTCTCAGTCTTCATATTGATGTTTCCTGGGATGTGGACCTTGATCCTTTTCTGTAGTCTCCAGTCACACCTTTGGTGATTTTTGTTTACAGTGGTGCTTGGGATTGAACCCAGGGCTTCCGACCACTCCACCGCTGAGTTGTACACCCGGCCAACACCGTTGCTGATTTCACACAGTTTTGTAGCTTTAAATGCCACCTATATACTGGCAACTCAAGTATTTATAAACATTGCAGCTAAAAGATAATTTGTGCTGAATTTAGAAGTAGTGCATAGTGAAAAGGAAATTAAGTCAAATACTTTATTCCTTCTTGACAGCAGAAGTGTAAAGGTTTCTCTGTTCTGGAAAAGTTAGAAAAATAGGTATACACTTACCCTGTATTGTATTGGGAGAAGTTGAGTATTGCTTTGTACTTTTTTTTTAAAGCACAGTTGGATAATGCTCTTTCTTCACCATCCTTGGCTTTTGGACTACTTGCCAGTTCAGTTCCAGCAATGAGTGCAACTCCCGTCCTTGACCATAATATTAGAGGTGGAAGAGCTGTGGTCTGAGCAAGCTGACATTTAACTCCCTCTGTAATTGAAAGCTGTATCTGAATCACTTTATTAGGCTGTTTGGTATAAAGCTTGAGTAGTTGTTTTTTTTGTTTTATTTTTGAGCTGATACTGTTTCAGCCCAGATATAGGGACTTTCCCACACTCTGGTTTCGGTGGCTCGCCTAGCCCCTCACGGAGGCCCTTTTCATTCTGTCTGGTCTTGCTGATTTTCAGCTGGAAGCTGCACTGGAAAGGAAGGTCACAGACCTGGCCCTCACCCAGGGCCCGAGTGAGTGGCTCTGAGCATTCCACTCAATTCATAGGATTCGGAAAATAAGTCAGTGTTTAGTTCTTACAAAGTGAAACTAAATAGGATATATTCCAATTATAGAACTTCATAAAGCCTCAGTTAAGTTTATAATTATATACATTATTAGTTACATTGTTATTTTGATATAAATTATTAGCAGATCAGAGTACCATGCAGTCACTAAAATGTATGTTACACACATAATACACAATTGAAATAGAGTTTGAGCCGGGTGTGGTGGCGCACGCCTGTGATCCCAGCACTTGGGAGGTTGAGGCAGGAGGATCGCTGAGAGCTCGAGACCAGCCTGGGCTACATAGTAAGTTCCAGGGCTGTCTGAACTACATAGTAAGACTGTGTTTCAAAAAACCAAAAAAAAAGGTTGAGACTTTATATTTTAGATTTACTAAGATATAAAATTATACTATTAAAATATATTGATTTATTTTGGCCTTTAAAAATAGCTTAGTAGGGCTGGGGATTTAGCTCAGTGGTTCTGCTGCCTGCCTTGCAAGCACAAGGCCCTGAGTTCAATCCCCAGTACCCCAACAAAAAATTGTTAAAATAGCTTAGCTTAGTGTGCTCAAATACTGGTGTCCTTGAATAGTCATTCAGCTGCTCTGGGAAGTACGACATTAGTGGGTGCAGGGGCAGCAGAGGGTATCTCCAAGTATGAATTTAACAATCCTGACTTGATTGGAAATTGGATATTTATTTTTAATGTATTATTTTTTCCTTTCATTTCTTGAAAATCAAGATTGATTTATTACTTTCTATTATTATCGTATAAAGTGAATATTTTCATTTAGTGCATGAAAATTTAAAATGTGGGATGCAATTACCAATTAATTACATCAAGAAACAGACTAAGGCTCAGAGAAGTGACAGATGTGCAGGGTCACACTATGAGGAAACAGTGGTGCAAGGTACTACCTATGCCTCCCACAGCTCACGGCCTCGATAGTCCGGGGACACTGCAGAATAATTGCAGCGTGGAAGAAAGTTGGTCACAGGAATCAAAAGCAGCAAGGAAAAGACGCCTGTGGGGGCCTGGTGGGGAAAATGTGGATAAATGCCCACAAAATTTTAGAGAGGCAACTTGAGATTTTAATTTACCAAATCTAGAAGAATTCCACATACTGTTTTCGCCCATTTTTGTAAGTGCGTGTTTATAGTACAGAACAGTGGTATTTATTTTGGGGAATTGATATATGCATATAATAAATATATGTTGATCATTCTCAATCCCTTTATTTCCCCCATGTCCTTTCCCATCTCTTAAGATTCTACCTTCTAGTTTCCTATCATTTATTTCCTTTTTTTTTCCCCTGACTTAAAAAAAAATAGTACATGTTGCAGTTCGTGCAGTTTTCAATCATCTTGGGAGTGGTTACATGTACATATTACAGATTTTTTTTAAAAAAACCCTCTTCACCTACTCTTTCTTTCCCCCTCCCCTTTTTATTTTATTCATTTATTTATACTTTAGGTTGCTCATAGGAAAAAATAAACATACAGTATTTAACTTTCTGAGACTGGCTTATTCCATTTAGCATGATGGTCTTCAGTTCTATACTGCAATGACATGATTTCATGGTATTGTTAACCCCTTCCCAGATATATCCAGGAGAAAATGATATCCAGGAGAAAATGATAGCTTTGGATCTCCTGGATCACACAATTTTAGTTTCGGGAGAATCTCCAATTTCCATAGAGATTATTCTAGTTTACATTCCCACTAACAGTGTAGCAGGGTGTCTTGCAACCCAGTCCTTGTGGCATTCATTGCTTTTTGTTTGTAGATGGTAGTCATTTACTGGGTGAGATGGTAGATATCTCAGGTTTTTTTGTTTGTTTGTTACCAAGGAATGAACTGTAGTTCTTGCACTTGTGAGGCAGGTGGCAGAAGCACTGAGCTAAATCCCCAGCCCTCTCAGTTTTTTTCATTGTTGTTCCCCAATGGCTAAAGATGTTGAACAGGTTTTCATATACTTGCTGACCATTTGTACTTTTTTCTTTTGTCTTTTGTCTTTTGTCTTTTCTTTCTTTTCTTTCCCTTTTTCTTCTTCTTCTTCTTTACCTTTTTCTTCTTCTTCTTCTTCTTCTTCTTCTTCTTCTTCTTCTTCTTCTTCCTCTTCCTCTTCCTCTTCCTCCTCCTCTTCCTCCTCCTCCTCTTCCTCTTCTTCTTCCTCTTCCTCTTCTTCCTCTTCTTCTTCCTCTTCCTCTTCTTCCTCCTCCTCTTCCTCTTCCTCTTCTTCCTCTTCCTCTTCTTCTTCCTCTTCCTCTTCTTCCTCCTCTTCTTCCTCCTCCTCCTCTTCTTCTTCCTCCTCCTCCTCCTCTTCTTCTTCCTCTTCCTCTTCCTCTTCTTCTTCCTCCTCTTCCTCTTCCTCTTCTTCCTCTTCCTCTCCCCCCCCCCTTTCTTCTTCTTCTTCCCCTAAATCCTTCCTGGTGTAGGACCATAGACTTGCAGCGCAGTCAGCAGAAACACTGAACTAAATCCCTGGCCATTTGTACTTTTGAAGTGTCTATTTGTTTCATTTGCCCAGTTTTTGATTGGGTTGTTGGTTGAGGTTAAGTTTTTGAGTTTTTATGTACTATTTTCTAAATGTTAGTCCTCTGTCAGACGAGTAGCTAGCATTAAAATTTCTTTCCCATTCAGTAGACTGTCTTTTCACTCTGTTGATTGTTTTGTTTGCTGTGCAAAAGCTTTTTAATTTGATATGGCCTCATTTGGTAATTCTGATATTATTTCTTGAACGATTTAAGTTTTATGTAGGATGTCTTTCAAGAGTATCCCTGTTTTATCTTTTAGCAATTTCAAAGTTTCTGTTTTTATATCTTGGTCTTGGATCCATTTTTATTTGATTTTAGTGCGGTGGTGGGGATCTAAGTTTTAATTTTCTATGAATGGGTAGCCAGTTTTCCCAAGAAAGAGGCTGTCTTTTCTCCCAAAATACGTTTTTAGCCCCTTTGTCAAAAATCAGATAGCTGTAGGTACATGGGTTGTTTCTGTGTCTTCTGCTTGACTCCACCAGTATCTTTTGTTACTCCAGTTTGTACTATAACTTGAAAACTGGTATTATGATGCCAGTAGCTTTGCTCTTTTTTGCTCAGGATTGTTTTGCTTGTTCTGGGTCCTTTGTTCTTCCATATAAATTTTAGGGTTTTTCCTCTTCCTGTGAAGAATGTTAGTGTATTAATAGGGATCGCATTAAATGCGTGGGTTGCTTTTGATGATATTGACAGTTTCATTGTATTAGTTCTGATTGAAGAAGTGATGTATTTCTGTTTTCTAATGTCTTGAGTTTCTTTCCTCACAGCTCTGCAATTTTCTCTGTAGAAGTCTTTCACTTCTTGGGTTAGACTGATTTCTAGGTATTTGTTTTTTGAAACTATTGTGAATGGATTTGTTTTCCTGATGTTTTTCTCAGCAGGTTCATTATTGGTTTATAGGAACACTATGGACTTTTCTTATGTTTATTCTGTAACCCTAGTTTTTATTTTTTCATCACCACCCCCATATATATATATACATGCACACATATTTTTTCCTACTTTGATTATAAATTTAATATTTGCTCACTTTAAAAAATGCATGCTCATTTAAAAAAATCTAGAAAGCATCTTTTTTTCCTGTTTTTCAGAGGATATTTGGCTTTGAGGCTGGTCTCCCTGGTATAGGATAGTGCCTAAGTTTTTCATTTTCTTCTGTAGGAACAAAATTAATACTTGTTAAATGAGTAGGAACTTAGTGTAGTTTTATTTTGTTTCCTTTCTTCTTCCGTTGAAAATCTATTTATTTGGCAGTGCTGGAAGCTGAGCCTACTGCCTGGCACCTGCTCTGCAAGTGCTCTGTCTCTGCACCACACACCCAGCCCTGGAGCCCAGCACTCCTGGCTGGGTAGAGGTGAGACCACTGTGGCTGACTGGGAGCTCTGAGCTCAGCGTTCCAGAGTGGCTGGCTTCCGTTCCATGGGAACATACATGATAGAGTTTTAAGACTTTTTAGACTGTTTAGAAATTATAAAAACTGTCTTTTTGTTTTTAACAGGACGGCTTAAATTCCTTGGTTCTTGATTTGGATTTTCCAGCCTTGAGGAAAAATAAGAATATAGATAATTTCTTAAATAGATGTAAGTATGTTTATTTTTAAACTTCATTTTTAATTACATAACGGCACTTGGACAAAAGATTTATGTTTGATTAATATAGTTCATAAGCTTATTAACTTAGTTAACGCATTAGCTTATTGAAATTTAAGGATATTTTAGTTTATCATGTATTTTAAAAACTGATATTTACTTGAGGCCCTGGGTTTGACCCCCCTACCACCACAGAAAAAAAAGGGAAAACAAAACGAAACTAATATTCTTTAGTTCTGAAGCAAAACTGCAGAATTGAAGTGCAGTATATAACATTTAAGATATGGTGTAGATTATTAAGGCTATTAGGCTGTTTTAGGTTATCTATAGCCATTCTAAGTGAAGTTTTAAAGTAATATTGCCAACTCTTAAGACTTAGATATCAGTACCCAGAAGAAAAATAATAATGTAATGTAATGTTTCTATAAATGTGGGCATTTTTGTCTAAGGAAAAACAATGTGATAACAATTATCACATGTATTATGTTAACCCTTCATAGTATATTAATCATACATGCTTATCACATATGCTAGCATGTACAATAAACATGTTTATATTGTATTTCCATGTTTGTGTTAACCAAATTTGCCAACATTGATGTTGAGGTAAATTGAGTTGAATTCTAAAGATTAGAAAATTTCCAAGCCATATACATATCATGTATCACCCAGTAAGCTCTTTAATTTGGAATTACCAGATACTGGGGTATTTCCCTAATTAAACAATCTTGTCAGTAGTTACTATACATGTACCGTATACAGTTACTAGTTTGTAAAGAAGGAGGCTGTCATTGCTAAGATCATCCTTGCAAGTGATTCTTATGGCAACTTCCATAATTTATAATGCACACAGGATTAATTGGTCATCACTGTGTCAGCTGACATTAGATTTGCCAAGTGACACAGTTAGGACACAGAATAGCATTAACTTGCTTTTTGGCAGTTCATATATATGGGTTTGGTTATTTAATATAAGGATAACATGAATTTTAGTGGGTTTTGTTTGTTGTGATTTTTTTCTTGTTTGTTTTTCAGTACTGGGAATTGAACCCAAAGCCTTTGCATTGAGCTACGCCCCCAGTCCCTTTTTCAAATTTTTAATTTTGGTGGTGTGCGTTTGTTTTGAGACAGGGTCTCACTATGTAGTTCAAGCTGACCTTGAACTCACTGTGTAGCTCAAGCTGGCCTCGAACTCGTAGCAGTCCTCCTGCCTCAGCCTCCAGAATGCCACCATGCCCAGCTCAAATTTTAAATTTTGAGACAAGGTCTTGCTAAGTTGCCCATGCTGGGCTCAACTGTAATCCTCCTGTCTCAGCTTCCCAGAGAAGCTAGAGGTTTGAATAGGAACCTTTAAAGACCAACAGCAGATTAAGCTGAAAACTAAGTCCAGAATGTTGAAATAAAAATTTCTTTACAAATGTGATATTCACAAATGCTAATAAATGTGATGATTGATATTACAAATACAGTGAATTTTTTTATCATAGATGAGAAAGTTGTGAAAAAAGTCCGAGGCCTGCAGATGAAGGCGGAAGACTATGACGTTGTGAAAGTCATCGGGAGAGGAGCTTTTGGTGAAGTGCAGTTGGTAAGAAAGTGTTTGACCTTCTGGCTTTGGGAAGTGGATCAGGAGCAGTGGAGTGGCTCTGGGGTGTGTGCTCCACTGCATTGGTTGCCAAAAGAGGAAAGAAATTGAGGCTGCTGTAATGTAATAATTGAGACGTGGAGGTAGATTTTTTTTTATGCGATGTGATTGGGCCAGGCCCAGAATATTGTATTCACTCTAAAGCCCCTGTTGCCCTGAGGTGGTAGTGGTAGTGGTGGTTTTAGGTTCACAGAAAAGTTGTTTGGTTTTTTAATTTCCATTTAATATATGTTGTTAGTTTATAGAAATATAATGTATTTGTGAGTGTTGACTTTGTGTCCTGCTATTTGGCTTAATCTATTCTAATTTTTTTTTTTTCTCAATGCTGGGGATCAAATGCAGAACCTTGCACTTGCCAGGCAGGCACAGCCCCACTGGGCTACATCCCTGGTCCCTTGTTCTAATAGTTTTTGGTGAAATATTTCTGGTTTTTCTGTCCATAAGTCATACAGAGAAAATTGGGTAGACACTATTTCTTCTCTGTCTCCCTTCTTCCCTTTCCTCCTCCTTTCCCTTTCTCCCTGCCTCCCTCCCTCTGTTCAGCTAGAATTCCAGGGCTGTGGTGGACAGAAGTGGCCTAAATAAGCTTCTTTGCCTTGTTTTTCAGAGGAAAAGCTTTTAGACTTTCATTAATAAGTAGCATGTTCACCATGGGTATTTACTATCTGCTATTTATATATTGAGGTAGTTTTTCTAGGTTTGTTGAGTGCTGTTACTTTAATTCTAAAAGGCATTGAATATTTTTAATATTATTAGATGCTTTTTCTGCCTCATGATTATGTGTTTTCCCCCGTGCCTTCTGCCAATGTGGTGTATTTGCATTGATTAATTTTTCCTATATTTAGCTGACCTTGCATTCCAGCAATAAATCTCACCTGGTTATGATGTATAATACCTTTTAATATATTGCTGAGTTAGGATTGTTAGCCGGTTTGTTGATGATTTTTTTTTATTTAAGCAATTTGGGGTGTTTTGGTGTTTTTTTTTTTTTTTTTTTGGTACTTGGGATTGAATTCGCGTCCTTGTACTTGTGAGGCAGGCAGTGGAACCACTGACTCCCTGGCCCTGATTTTTTTTTTGTAATAAGGAATTTTGGTCTGTGGTATTTTTGGTATTAGATTATTGTGATGCTGATTTCACAGCACATTAAAAGATGTTTTCAGTTTTTTGGAAAAATTTCAGAAACAGAGACTATGCAGAAATGAAAGTGGGGATATTTCTACTGAGTCTACAAAAATAAACAGGATTAGGAGAATTCTGACAACTGTTTTGCTAACAAGTTGGATAACCAAGATAAACGAGTTCCTAGAAACACAAAACCTAATGACACGAAATTACAAATGAATAGAAAATTTAAAGAGAGCTGCAGCTCATAAGGAGATTGAGTCAGTAATCAAGAATATTCCCAACACCAAAACCGGCCTTGAACCCAGTGATGTCATTGGTGATTTGTACAAAACTGTCAGCCTCTTTATATCTTAACCGAAAGTAAATGGGTTAAAAGTGACTGGGAGGAGAGATCTATTTTTCACTTTACTATTTGATTTCTATGTCTTATAGCTCCTTTTCTCTACTGTGGACTCCTTTTGCATTTAGTTGACCTTTTGTAGTGATACTTTTAAATTCCTTTCATATTTCCTTTTGTAGATATTCTGTAACTATTTCCTTTGTTGTTGCTATGTCGATTACATTTAACATCCTAAAGTTTTTACACCCTAATTCCAGTTTATACGAGCTTAACTTCAGTAGCATACTAAAATTCTGCTCCTTCAGCAGCTCTTTCCTTGCATGTTCCAATTGTTGCCCTTGCAAAGTTACTTCTCTATACATCATGTGACCCAAAACATAAACTACACTGTAGTCTCTTTAAATTATATAGAAAAAATGGTTTTATAAACCAAAGTTAAAATAGTGCTAGCTTTTTTACTTAATATTTTAATGTATTAGTCTCAAGTGATGTAGAAAGCAAGAAGTGCAATTATAAATTACTATAACAAGAATACTAGCTATTTATTTGTGTATTTTATTAATTTATTTAGTTGCTGGGAGATCAAATCCAGGGCCTCACACATACTAAGCAAGCACTCTAAGGAGCTACATCCCCAGCCTTAGCCTACTTTATAACTTCTCGTGTATTTACCTTTATTGAGATCTTATTTCTTCGTAGGAGTTATTGTTCAGACAGCATCTTTTGATTGACCCTGCAGACTCTTCTCACCACTTCTTGCAGGTCAGGTCTGGTAGCAGTATCCATTAGCTGTTGTTTATCTTAATTCTCCTCTCAATTTTGAAGGACAGTTTTGCCATATTGTGTATGTAGTTTTGATTAATTTTTCTTTTTTAACTGCTTAGCGCTGTTTTGTTTGTGCATGTGTGTGTTTGTTTTTTGGTGTCAGGGATTGAACTCTGGCCCTTTTGCGTGCAAAGCAGGCCACAGAATGACTGAGCCAAATCCCCAGCCCTGCTTAGCATTTTGAATGTATTGGCTTATCATACTCTGGCTTCCAAAGTTTCTGATCAGAAATACACTTAAAATCTTAATGGATTTCTGGAATCTGACAAGTTTTTTGTTTTGCTGCTTTTAAGATTCATTTTTTGTCTTTGATTTTCATGTGATTACAATGTTTCTCCTTATGTATTTCTCTGAGTTCATTTTACTTGGATTTCATTGACCTTGGGTATATATGTTCATGTCTTTTCACCTGTGATTACATTTTGGGTGTTTCACAATTGGATACCAGCTCGGCTTTGCTTCTCTCTTCTCCTGGTAGTCCCACCAGGTGTGTGTGTGTTGCTCGGGCTGAGTCTCTTTTTGTGTCTTTAGGTTCACTTTTCTTCAGACTTTTTCCTTCCTGTTCCTCAGATGCACTAATTTCTGTGCCCTGATATTCAGAAGATTGCTGGTTCTCTGCCTGCTTAAATCTGCCTTTGAATCCCGTTCGTGAGTTTTAAAATTTCATTTGTTGTATTTTTCAACTTAAGAATTTTTTTGTTAGGTTTTCTCTTTCACTGACTTCTGTATTTTCTTTTTCTTTTCCTTTTTTTCTGGTACTGGGGATTGAACTCGGGTCCTTTTGCTTATGAGGCAGTCACCAGAACCACAGAGCTAAATCCCCAGCCCAACTTCTGTATTTTCATACACTGCCTTCTTGCCTTTATCCACATTTCCCTTTTGTTCCTCAAGCATATTTATGACAGTTATTTGAAAGCCTTTTGTCAAGTAGATCTGCCATCAGTTATTTCTTTTCTAGGGACAGCTTCCGGTGATTCTTTTCTTTAGAATGTCTGCACCCTTCTGTGCCTTTGTATGCCTTCAGAGTTCTGTGATGATAACTGGCCGTGTGAAGCTGATAGTGTGGTCTATCTGGAACTCAGGTTCTTCCTCTTTCCTAGTGCTTGCTGTGGTGTGTGTGTGTGTTTTAATTACTGTAGGTTGTGTCTGTAAGTATCAGCCTGAAGTGTAAGTTTAAGGTCTTCTTGGATCCTTTTCTAAGCCAGCAACTTTTCTTGGATATGTACAGTCACTTTCTAATTTTCCTGTTTTGAATGTCTAGTCCTTAAAATCTGGCTCTCACAAGCGCAACAAATTGAAAATAAAGGGGTAAAAAAAGTGTACTGAACTTTCAGAGCTCCTGGGCATCACTTCAGCATGAGAGGGAAGGGCTCGCAGCTGTGAGGGAGGTGGGTGACAGTAACTGCTTGTCACTCCTGTGTAGCCATGTGAACAGACCAGCAGTGATCAGAGCACATACCTGTTGTTTGTACAGTGTCCTTTTATGCACCCTGGTTCCTTTGGGCTGTGTTGAGGTCACAGCTGTCCGCCAAGGAGAGGGGACCTGGGCCAGGCAGCTCCGACTAGGCTAAGAACTGAAATGTGTCAGAACTAATGGTGGTTAGTTAGTCAACAGTGTTAGTCCATGCCTTCCCCTGGGAGCTGCAAGCCTTCATAGACTCCAGAGTTCCAAGTTTCATCTCAGATAGATTCCCCCAGCGCATATGTAGTCCAGGTGGGGGCACAAATTTCTGTTGTGTCCTCTTCTCCCATCTTCTCAGAGTCCTCTTGCTGTCCTTCTGGCTCTTCTCTAGCAGCGCTTGAAATATTTCACTCTACTCGTATGGGTTCTGAGAAGAACATCTCTGTTCCTGTATAAGCCTCACCCCACAGCTTCTTTCTGGGTCTTTCCTTTTGAGTTCTGTAGTTGAAAGTGACATCCTACGTGTAGTTTTTTGTTTTTTTTTTTTTCCCTAAATCCTTCCTGGTGTTCTTTGAACTTTCCCATTGTATGATTTGGCCTGATAATAATTTGGGGAAATTTTGAGCCATTATTTCAAATCTTTCTTTGTTGTTTTTTTCTCTCCATCTTCTAACAGTCCCAGTACATATATATTGCACCTTTAGTTGTACCATAAACCTTGGATATTTTCTTCTGATACTGTTCAGTCTTTGGGTTTTTTTAAGCTTGTAGGTACGTACCTACGGATATATCCCTAAACTGAGGTTCTTTCCTCAGCCATATCTAGTTTACTAATGAGCCCATCAGAAGCATTCTTGTGTGTTTGTTTGTTTGTTTGTTTTATATTTTTTTGAGACAGGGTCTCACTGTGTAGTTCAGACTGCCCTGGAACTCACTGTATAATCCAGGCTGGTCTCAAATTTACAGTGATCCACCTGCCTCAGCCTCTCTAGTGGTGGGATTGCAGGCGTGCGCCACCACGCCTGGCTGGAAGCATTCTTCATTTCTTTTGCAGGCTTTTGATTTCTAGAATTTCTATCTTCCTACCTGCAGTCCCCTCTGTCCTTGCACATTGCCCCTACCATATTAATCATTGTTCTTTAACATTTCCAATCTGATAATTCCAGCACCCCTGCCATGTGTCATTCTGATGTATCCTATCTCTTCAAGTTACATTTTTGCCTTCAACTATGCCTTGTAATGTTTTTC